CCTCTTTGGAAGTAACCTGCTTCAAAATAGGTACCTCTGCTGTTTTACTGACACTTCTTCCATTTCAGGGAAGAATTTCACAAAATCCAGCAGAGTAAAAAGAGGCTGAAACAAGTAAACTTTGGATACTTCATTTGGATGGATAAGCACAATAACAATTCTCAAATAAAGTAAAAATGTTACTTTATACTTCATTTAATAAAATAATATAAAACACTGTGTGGTTAAAATGCTTTTGGGGGGCTAGACTATGAAGACTTTTTGCATTTAAACCACTCCAACAATGTTTAAGTAAAGCATTTTTACTCTTCTGCTGAATTCCACAGAAGCCACTGAGTCAATTAATTGTCCTGTTAAAGCGGAGGGAATCTTGAAAAGGAGTAAAATCTTTTGTGAAGAACGTTGACTGCTCTGCCTGGGCAGGTTTCATTCTGGAACTGATAACCCATTCCTCCTGACCTCAGTCTATTGGCATTAAATCTCATGGAGTTCTCTCTGTTTTAACTCAGTGGAATGACTTCAAATGGAGGGGCAATGGATCTCACTGTCTCTCATTCTGCAAGTGTTACTAGGTATTTTAGCACACAGTTAACTGACACAGTGGCCCATTAATGGCTCAAGAAGTGAAGCAGCATCCTGCTTTTCATTCCCTCTGACTGTCAGAGCTACAACTAAATCACAGTGGAGTGCTGGAGACTTTCCTGTGAGGAAGTACAAGCTCTGAACTTTTTAAAAAATGGAAAAGAAGAGGAAGAAGAAAATGAACCAGAGAAAGAAGGGGGAGAAAAAAGGAGGAGGGGGAGGAAAGGAGGGGAGAAAGGAGGAGGAGGAAACAAGGGGGAGAAAAGAGGAGGAGAAGCAGAAGAAGGAGAAGGAGAAGGAGAAGGGTGGTCAAAGAATATGAGGATTAGCAAAATAAGTAGGATTACGTATTTGTGCAGCTATTGCTAATATTTTAAAAACCTTCAGTATCTTCAAGCAATCTCATTCAATAGGACATTGGAGACCAAACACTGAAAATAAACGAAAAAGTTTCTCCCAAAGAAAAGTCAGTGATGCCAGATCGGCAATTGAAATGATAATCTGGTCAGAGTTTTCTTGTATCCCTAAATGATACCACTTCCAACTGTTTGAAAACACCTTGGCCTAAAGGCAACACTTTGAAGCTTAGTCTTTGCATTTTAAGATGCGGTTAAAAGAGATATGGGGGGGGGAATGTAGAGGCTTGGGAAAGGTTTGAAAATGAATGGATTTTGGAAATGGCCTTTTGAGGCTATTAAGTTATGACATTTTGTCTATTTGTCTCAGTGCCAAGGAGACGGAGGAAGAAAAAGTTCCACAAGGGCGGAGTTGGGAGCAAAGAGGTGCTTTTTCAAAGTGGGCAATCTGGTTGGGCAGGTTGGGCTTGGCAAATCCTTGTTTTATGTCGTTTTCTCCTGCCCTTGTTTGCTGAAATTCATAGGGCAAGGTGAACTCCCATATTCCATAATGGCAGCTTGTGATGACGCTGTGCAGGAAACATCCCTCATCTGGAACAGGCTCCCTCAAAATCAGAGCCACGGGTTTGGCACAAATGCAGAAAGTGGCTTGGAGTGTATCTCTGGCCTTGGTAGAACGTGATTTTGATTCTCCAGGGCTGAGAGCATGCAGCAGGTTTTCTATTTCTTTTGTTTTATTTCTCTACACCTCTCAGCCGCCCCTCCAAAACACACATACACACACACATTTGAAGGTTATATAGATGCTCCCTACATAATGGATTGTTTCTGAGCACATAGGATGCAACCTTTGGATTTGGGAATAAATTCCCAAATTTATTTATGATTTCAGAGGGGTTTATTCCCTGATTAGGAAATGCAGGGAGGGGATGGCTGCCAAAAATAAGCAGAGCTTTGACTGCAACTCATAGCTTAGTTCACCCTTCCCACTGACCTTTCGCCATCAAAGAAGGAGATGCTTCAGGAATCCTTTTATCCTTACACACAAATGCAACCTTCGCAAGATTCAGCGTGGATGTCCCAAAGCTGGGAACTTACTTTCCATTCTGAGATTTACTTTATGTCAAGATTGTTTCCAAATGAGGGATATAGCTGAAGTCTGCATAATAAAGGACAACAGAAAAGGTGGGATACAGCTGAGTTGAAATGCACACACACACTTCCTAATTACTTGCTGCCTTACAAGCCCACAAACAAATCTGAACTGGATTTAAAGAGGAAGGAAAGAAAAGATCTCGATCAAATCGAATAACTTTATTACAGTCGTCAGGCCAGACATAAAAATTTAAAAGTCACTGAATATACAGTAGGTATCTACGGTAGGATACACCGAATATAAAAGTACAGGGCTAAAAGTGCGATAATGATGTAATAAATTTAACATAAACTGCAAGTCAGTGGGGTCTTAGTTTTTGCTATATTGGCTTCAAGGGTGGATTAGAAGCAATTTGTAGAAAGTTAAAATAAGCATTCAGGATTAACAATGGTGGATTTCTGTGTTTGTAGTTGTGTATGTTGCCAACCTCTGGCTGCCGTGCCTTTTCTTCACTTCTTCTGTAAAACCACCCAGAGTCACTAAGGCTACTAACATGAGCCCAAAGGAGGTTTTTATCCAACAGAATATTGGATAAAATATTCTATTTTATGACTATTCCGGGTCGTTTGGAGTGGATTGCTTTGTTCGGCCCGCACCTCTATTGGGATTCGGAGCAAACCCAAGATTCATTTGTTGCCTAGCATCAAACAGGGCTTTTCCGCTTTATCACAGATTTAATTCGCCTGTTTTATTAGAGGAGTTCTTCCTTCAAGGGGAGAAAAGCAGCCTTTCCCATTGCAGAGATGCTAAAGGGATTTGAAAGGCACTTTAACCGATAGTATGTTTTTTTTCAAAAAAAACAAAAAACTAGCTTCACGGACATTGTCCTCCCTTCCTCCTTTTCTTCTCTACTCAACTATTACATATGAATAATTAAGCGCATCGTTTTATAAGACAAAATCCCTTGCCCCAGATTTATAGTAAACTTCAAGCACAAAGCCTTCCGGAATGCAATGGACTACGATTCCTTGCGAAATTTCAATTCTGATGAACATTTTAATTGGTCGCCCCTTGGGGAGACCAGCTGCTGTGAGATCTGTGCTAGAACTCTTGTTCTGGCGGCTTCCGTGAAAAGTTTCCTTCCCAACGTTGGAGATCCCGGCCAAGCCAGAATGACTTGCGGGAGGGGGGGGTGGAATATCTGGAGTTAAGTGGGCAGATCAACCGTCGGCTGTTTGAAGTCATTCATGTGGCCAGAAGAACTCAGAATACGAAAGTTAGTTGGGAAGTCATTTCCATGAAAAATTGCATGCAACAGGAATTCCCGTTCTCTTTTATTTCGGGTGCCGGGAAATTTTTGTTTTGTTTTGTTTTCACGTAAACGGCTGAAATGAAGGGCGACTCGTTGACTTTTGCTGTCTTTTTAAACTTAAATGTTTATGCCCCCAAACGAAGACGCCTAGGCTCTTCGGAACTTTACTAGGGGTGCGGAAAGTAGCCTGTGTATCTCAGCTCTTTCGGCTTATGGAAACATATGGAGGGGTTCCGGGATGTTTATTCTGGGCGTCCCTGATCCTTAGCGAGTGCACCGGCGGTACGATTACAGGCATACACAGATCACCTTTTTCTCACCCACCCCTCTCGCCTCGCATGTGCCTATCCAGGATCGCAATCCTTACTGCGGTTGCCAGCAGTCGAATATAAAACAACCAGGGAAACTTATCCGACATGGGGGGGAAAATAGTTCAAAAAAGGAAACGAAGTACTTCGAGCGTGAGCTGGGCACGTAAAATGCGTCGATTGGGAGAAAGGACCACTCAAAAGAAATGCCGCAACCGCCGTCCTTGGAAAAAAAAAATAAGAATCATTCTGCAGGTTGCTCAGTTTGTCTTCGGGAGCTCCGAAAGTAACCGAACAATTCCCGGGAGCCAAAGTGTAATTCAATGGCCAAGAGCATTTGCCGTTCCCGCCTCCTGCCCTGCTACGTCCAGTTTCTTAACAGATTTTTTTTTTTATCTAACAAGAATCAACTCAAACATTCTGCTCATTTCAGTCCAATTCTGGAGACCTCCTGCTCCTGCTCCCGCCCAAGGCCAAAGGTTAATCTCAGCGGAGAGGAGGCGGGGAAGGCGAAGGAGCAGCCTCTGGAGAGCGAGGGCCTAAAGACGGAAGCCTCTTGATTCTGGGCCCGTCCCTTCCTCCTGATGAACTATGAGAAATCTACGCCGCTCCCAAGCCTTTGTGAAAAAGCGAGACCAGGCAGGGTCCGTGTGGATGTGTGTGAGAGAGGGGGTGGGGGAGAGGAGAGAGAGAGAGCACGTACATATATGTAAATATGTCTACGTGTAGGGATGTATCTTCGTGTTTCCGTTTTTAACAACTCCTGTTTCTTTCCCTTTCCTTTCCTTTCCCTCCCCTTCCCTCCCTTCCCTCTTTCCTTTCCTTTCCTTTTTTCCCTCCCCTCCCTTCCTTTTTCCCTCCTTTCCTTTCTTTTCTTTTTCGCTCCCCTCCTTTCCTTTCCTTTTTCCCTCCTTTCCTTCCCTCCAGCTTTCCTTTCCTTTCCTTTCCTTTTTTCCCTACTTTCCTTTCATTCCCTCCATCCCTCTTTCCTTCCCTTCTTTCCTTTCCTTTCCTTTCCTTTCCTTTCCCTACTTTCCTTTCCCTACTTTTCTTTCCTTTCCTTTTTTCTCTACTTTCCTTTCCTTTCATTCCCTCCATCCCTCTTTCCTTCCTTTCCTTCTTTCCTTTCCTTTCCTGTCCTTTCCCTTCCCTACTTTCCTTGCCTTGAGAGAACTCAAGCCAAGTCCCAAACGAAGTTGGAAGAGGGAGGGGAGGGGAGAGCAGGGACCGCCGGCTCAACTCTCCCCCCCCCACACTCACCCGCCCCACAGAGGGAGACACGTGCACCGCCTGGCCAATGAGGCCCCGGACGAGCTCCTTGGACGGCCGGGTGCGATGCTCCCCCCTCCCAGTGTGGCCTTGGTTTTTATAAACCATCCCGGGCGCTCGGAGAGGGAGGCCGCCGCTCTGCCGCTCCTTCGCCCCGCGTCCCGTCCGACTCGCACGCCATGAGCGCCTCTAGGCCTTCCCCTGAGGGCCAAGCCGGGGAGGAAGAGGAGCAGCAGCGGCGTCGGCGACGGAGGCAGCTGGAGCGGGGCTGCTTCGCGCGGGAAGCCTGAGCCGAGCATCGGGCGCCCGGGAGATGGAAGCGCTGCGCGGAGAGCCCGGGGCAGGCGGCGGGGGCTGCTCGCAGAGCCGAAACTTTCTCTCCGCTCCCATCTTCGGGCCGTCGGCGCCGGGTTCGACGAGATCGGGCTTCGTCTACGAGCGCTCGGGCCCGGGGACCGTGGCGCGCTCCACGCCGTCCTCGTCCTCTGAAACGCCGTCCTCGTCTAAGGACTGCACCGCCGGACTTCCTATTGCGGCGGCGGCGGCGGCACCACCCTCGGCCACAACGGCCGCCGCCGCCCTGGGCTATCCTCCAGGTTACCCCCCCTTTGGCCACGGTTACTACAGCTGCCGCATGGCGCACGGCGTGGGGCTCCAGCAGAACGCCGCGCTGAAAGCGGCCCCGCACACCGCCTTCCCGGTGGAGAAGTACATGGACGTGGCCGGCCTGGGAGCCGCCAGCACGACCTCGGGCGTCGGCAGCGACCCTTCCTCGCGGGCCAAGGAGGTCTCTTTCTACCAGAGCTATGCGGCCACCGCCGGCCCCTACCAGCACGTGCCCCCCGGCTACCTGGACGTGGTTTCTAGTTTTGGACCGGCGGCCCCTTCGGGGGAACCCCGGCACGAGACCTACATCTCCATGGAGGGCTACCAGTCCTGGACTTTGGCTAACGGCTGGAACGGACAGGTGTACTGCTCTAAGGACCAGGCCCCGGGCTCCCACTTCTGGAAGTCTTCCTTCCCAGGTAGGCGCGCCCAGGCAGCCGGGAAGAAGCCGTGGGGCTCCCGGTAAAAAGTTAAGGCAGGTCCGTTCAAAACCAGGCGGTAGGTTGCAGGCTGTGCCGCCGCTTTGAGAAGCGCGGGCCTTCGCTTGGGGTCTGTGGTAGCTTCCTGATACTATGGACGGATGGTGCGAATGGTAGTCTGAGGTCTGAAGGGCTTCGGGTGAGAAAAGGTTGCACGTTAGGAAGGGAGGAGGAAGGAAGGAAGGAAGGAAGGAAGGAAGGAAGGAAGGAAGGAAGGTTGGTTCGTGCATCGGCTGCCGCGTCCAGCTGCGGGTTGGGTTCCTCTTACTATTCAGTTTTCCTGTCGAACTTTAAAACCAGGCGCTGCCATGTTCCCCATCGAGCTCAGCGCAGAAGGCCAAGAAGCAATGGCTGCCCTGCCCGAAATCTGCAAAGTTTCTCTGCTCCCTCGAGCTGGTGGAAATGTTCGGCCAGGCCTAAAGCCGAGACTCCAGCCTGGTCCCATACAGTCCTCGGTCCGTTCCCGTTAATGATTGTGGCGTCAGAGCGTTCCTAAATTACAGCGAAATAATCGCATGATGAGGGGAATAAGAAGGATCTGAGAACTAAGAAGGAACTGAGTACTTCTTCCCCCACCCCGCCCCAGAGCCAGATCCACTCCAGTTCGGGCAGTTATTTAACCTTAGGAACGGAGCAGGACTAGAGCGCTACGGCCCGATCCTGCACCGACGTCCTCTGAAGTTACCCTAAGCTTCTTACCGACAGCCAAGTCATGGTTGTCCCAAAAGTGCTTTTTCAAAAGCCAACTGCACTTTGGGTTTCTTTTGTTTTTTGTTTTGAAGTCTTTTCTCTTCTCATCCAAGAAGAAGAAGTTTCCTGGATGAGAAGCGAAACGTCTTCAAGAAAAAAACACACAAAAAGTCCAGTTGCCTTTTGAAAAAAGCACCTTTGGGTTTCCCTAAACTTATTCCCCTTGGATTTATTCCTGGGGGGCGGGGGGGAAGGGGGGAAGGGGGGCGAGGATGCTCCCAATCTCTGCAGCTGTGCTTTCCCAATCAAATCAGCTGTGAACGTGTGGAGGAAGATGGGAGGAGAGGAAATCAGTGATTCTTAAAACTGCAAAAAGGTTGATGAAGGCCTTGGGGAATCTACGGTTTTATGCGGGGGGGGGGGAGTAGGGGCTACATAGAAATTGTCCCAGAGCAGCTGTAACATATGCCAGGCACCTATTGAGGGGGAACGTCTGTTCTGAGACCTCCAAGAGGAAGGAGAGGTGACAGCCAAAAGTCTCTCTAACTAACTCTTCCTTTTGTGGTACTCTGGGCTCTTGATAGGGAAAAATATCTCCTTTCCTGCTCACTTGTTGCCCTTCTTCTTCTCCGGCAGGGGAAGTTGCACTAAACCAGCCAGACCTGTGCGTGTACCGGCGCGGGCGGAAGAAGCGAGTGCCTTACACCAAGCTGCAGCTAAAGGAGCTGGAGAGCGAATACGCCCTGAATAAATTCATCAACAAGGACAAGCGGAGGCGGATTTCTGCGGCCACCAATCTCTCCGAAAGGCAGGTCACCATCTGGTTCCAGAACCGCAGAGTCAAAGACAAGAAAATCGTCTCCAAGCTGAAGGACACCGTGACTTGATCCCAGGAGGCTTTACAGAGGGAGGCTGGCTGGGAGCATCTTCCCTTCAAAAAAGGACTCTTGGAAAGACTTGAAATATATTTAAGGTCTCCTTTGTGTTAAAGGGCAGATCTGGGGAAGCGCTTCTGATCATGTTTGCAACTTCTGGATTGTAATGGAATGCTGCAAGTTTTTAAGGCTCTGGTTTAATCCCTTGGTCTTTTCTCCATTGCTATACTTTGTTAGGGTTTCTTCTTTTGTTTTTGTTTTTTCTTCTCTCCCTTCCCCCCTCCCAAAGAGCAGTGTAAGTAGCACATCTGCAGTCACACACTTTTCAATGGCTATCGGGCTAAGAACATTCAGGTGCTAAAAGGAGCTGGTAGGATTGTGGGAGAGAGATGTGTGAGCACACAAACATATTCCCTGAGGTGCCTGTGCCGTACTTTTTCCTCTGGTCCACCACCCCTATTTAATAAGGATCAGGACAGATAGAACAATGGAGGTCCTGTTTCTCTGAGCCTGACTAGGTGGCTCAGTGGCTAAGACACTGAGCTTGTCGATCAGAAAGGTTGACAGTTCGAATCCATAGTATAGGTCTCCTGTGTGAGCAGGGGGTTGGACTAGATGACCTCCAAGGTCCCTTCCAACTCTGTTACTGTAATAAACTGTTAAACTCTGATTGAGATGCCATGGCTTAAAATCAATGAAGCCCCCGACCCTCATTTGTGACCAATCTCACCCTCATTTGTGACCAATCTCGTGCTGTAATGGAACGTAATTTCAATGGGATCTTGGGCCTGATTAACAACCTTTTCCAACCCTGGTCCCAACTGAGATTCGTTCTAAACCAAATGGCATTGGAGTTTCAAAACTTTAAAAGCCAATTGTGCCTATATGTTTAGCTATATAAAGATGTGTATAAATCAATGTGTATTTTAATATAAATATTGTATGCCCTGATATCTTCATCACAATCACAGTTGCCTTCATTCACCCTTCTGGGCACTGGGAAAAAAAATTGTCCAAAAGGTTGAACGCCACTGATAGCTTTTGTTACTAAGGGAAACGGGTGTTAGTGAAAGAAGCAATAAATGCTAAACAGCTACAAGAGACTTGAGCAATTGGACTTAAGAGTTGGTGTTTTATTTCACTTGCCTATCTTCTCCGAGGGTGCTCTTTGTTGAGTTAGATAGAGATGGTGACAGCTTAGGTTGCAGATAGAAATGGAAGTTCTTCGCCCCAGATTCAAGGCAGCTAGCTGAACAAGGAACTGCCCTTCTTCAAAGAGACAAAAAAAAAAATAGGACAGCGTCCATGCACACAAGGCCCTTAACTAAGAGGGTTGTCATCTTGCAGCTTCTTAATTCCGTAATTAAGTGGGGCATAGCATACTCCCTCTGGCCTGGCAGTGGCAATCCATTTTCCTGGAATGAATGGAAAAAGCTCATTCTATGTCGTTATTTATTTATTTATTTATTAAATTGATACACCACCTATCTCACTAGCCAAGTTCAATGGAGGGCTTTGATCAGTTGGTAGATGCCTAGTGGAAAATCTTATGGCTGTTATGCCAATGAGAGATCAAGACTCGGGATGCCCTGAAGGTGGAACCCACTGATCCTGCTAGAGAAGAAGACCTGCAGGGCAGCCAAAACCTGACCCTTTGGGCTCGAGCTGGCTCTAACCTACCAAAACGGGGCACAAGTGCGCATGTATAGACTTTACTACTAAAATCAAAAAAAAAATGGCTTTATCCTAATCACTCTTTTCATACAAATATTGCTGTACTATTTCACACATAGAAACTGATTTAAATGCTGTTTTCCTTCCTTTTCTTTTCATCCCTCTGACAACATAGTAACTTCTTAACAAGTTTCTCCTTAGACTTCAAACTTGGCGGGAAAGAAACATACAAAGTTAGGATGGTAACTGACAACTCTTTCCCCCCCCCCCCCCCCCCCCTCCCCCCCCCCCCCGCTCAGAAAAGCTGTCAATCCTTCACACAGTTTGCTCAGAGTAAGGACAAACTGTATTCAAATGGAGCTTGGTATTAGGTACATTCATTCGTTCTTTCGTCACCTTGAGTTATCTATAAAAATAATAAAAGCAGGATAAAAATAAATAAAAATGATCTCTGCCCAGATGCTCAAAACTCATACATGGGTAAAGCTGGGAGGTGGCAACTCCTCCAGCACTTTAAATTTAAAGCCAGTTGGAAGAAGTGAGCGCTAAAGAGATTCTGTTTTCACCTTTCCTTTAAATAAACATTGAGCTGACTCAGGCCTTGGGTTTCAGCTCCTTGTTCCTAACATGGTGGGTTCACCATGACGATTCCAGAACATTCTCCGAGGCTCCTCGTCCTTTGGCAGTATGAGAATCTGGCCAATATTTTCTCCTTTGGTCTTCCCAAACTTCATCTTTAGAAAGTGGAGGAACGATCTGTCCTGATAGATTACGGATTTGCTTTTCATCCTTTCTTCAACTCTGCTCTTCCCTAGATTAAGATATTTCCCCTTTAGTTTAAAAACATACATTAAAAGGTTAGGTTCCCAAAAAGCCTCCAGGGCCAAAGGGAAGCCTGAAGAATAAAAACAAGAATCCTGAAGGTAGCTGTGCAAATAAAGTGAGGGAGAGGTGAATTTAATAGAGCGAACAAAAACATAACAGGAGGAGGAGGAAAGAATGAATAAAGGGTGATTATAACATAACACGTTTTATTATCCCTCTCTTCTATTCCTATTAACGCATATAATAAATATTACATCACAGAAAAATCAAACAATGTCTTTCAGGGATTCAGCTGAGATTCATTAAGAGCTTTCTTTCAAGTCTTATTTTGGTTGGATCAACTCCATACCAGCAGTAAGAATTAATGTGTGGATAAATATTGGGGAAAGTAAGTAGCTGCACAATTATGGTTTTGTTTCTCTGTGCTACCCACCCTTCGCAGCCTTCTGAAATACAGTATATTATAGTATATTTTTTGTACAGTCCAAAGCTGTGACTTTTCACAACAGCTTTCTAATTTTTCTTCTAAACACAGAACTCTCTCTCTTTCCCTCTCTCTCCCTCTCTCTCTTTCACTCACACACACACGTGCACCCACAATGGCAGCCACATCCAATTATAGCTTCTCTCTCTCTCTTTCTTCCATGCTTTGGTCAGTTCTGACCACAGCTATGTAGAAGGACGTTGCTGGGTTGCTGGGTTTTACTTTCACTTTGCGGAATAGTCCCTGCACTCTCTTTTTTCCCCCTCCTGCAGAGGAGGGAGGAAGGGGTGCCCTTGGCCCAAAGACTCACTGAAACTGTGAATTGTGAGTTATTTCCAAGAGCCTAGGACAGATATCCTTGCAAAGGTTCCCAAGAAAGAGCAAGCAAAGAGCAAACCTAAAAAGAAGGGAGGGAGGGAGGGAGGGAGGGAAGGAAGGAAGGAAGGAAGGAAGGAAGGAGAGAGATAGAGGAAGAAGGAAAGAGAGAAGGAAAGAAGGAAGGAAGGATGGATGAAGGAAGGAAGGGAGGAAAGAGGAAAGAAAGAAAGAAAGAAAGAAAGAAAGAAAGAAAGAAAGAAAGAAAGAAAGAAAGAAAGAAAGAAAAGAAAGAAAGAAAGAAAGAAAGAAAGAAAGAAAGAAAGAAAGAAATTCCGTAGGTGAAGGGACTTTCAACTGAGGACACATCAAACGGCAGCCCAACCTCTCCCGCAGCCGCCCTTCTTTTCTTTCCGGAGAAAAGGAACGAAAGAGGAGAAGAGCCGGAGGAGTAAAGGCGGCTGAGCGGGTAGCTCAGCCTTTCTCCAGCCTGGGCCCAGCTGAAGCTGCGGGGAGAACGGAAAGGCCGCTCCACCAGTTGCCTGGGCCGCCTGATTCCCCCGACAATTCCTGGCATAAGATCTAACGGGGGGGCGCCAGCCGGAAGAGCAAATGGAAGAGTTACGGGAACACCCCCCCTCCCTCCGCGCCAAGTCCCTCCATCTTTCCTCCCATTGTTCGATTCTTTAAACCGCAGTTGCTAGGATTCGAAATCGGGTCGAGGTCGAATGGATCTGGAGAAGTCCCGCGTTTTGTGCAAGCATCTCACGGCCCTCTCTCCCCCCCCCCCCCCCCCCCCGACCTAAAAATAGTCATTCGCTTGCGAAGCCCCGCATTTCCTGTAATTCCTGATCGTGGACAATGACATCCCCAAGAGTCAGTAAGACAAAGGCGACGTCGCTGTTAGAGGACCAGGTTCTGTGGGAGCAATGAATGGGATCGTAGTGCCATCTGCTGGACAAACCGAGGTATAGTTCACTTAGAAACCAGGAGAAATCCCCCTCGCCCCCAGCTCGGTTCCAGAAACGGGCTCTTAAGGAACAGGTTCTGTTCTATCATTGAAAGAATCGGCCCACTCAGCGAAAGGGGGAACATGAAGTTAGGAATTCCTTATTCGGAAAGGTGGAATTTGCTTTCCTTGCCCAGGCTTGTCGGGGAAAAAAAAATCACTGGAAAGAAAACAGCCGCTCAGGATCAAACCTCTAGTCAAGGCAACCGAGGTGGCCGAGCCCTGTAATATCAAATCCTTTTATTCATTTGTATGGCTTTTTTGGAGTATGACACATGCCCCTGAGTTCACTGAGAATTTGTTCGGAGCAGGTATGACCAGGACTGAGATGGCTACGTAGGAACCAGCCACCAGAGTTTTCCTTAAAAAGAGGAACAGCAGCAGCACACGGGGGGGGGGGGGGGTCAGAAGCGTGAAGGCGTCAATGGAAACTGGCGGTGGTCGTTTTGTGTGTGTGTGTGTGTGTCAGGGGTGAAGTCCAGCAGGTTCTGACAGGTTCTGGAGAACCGGTAGCGGAAATTTTGAGCAGTTTGGAAAACTGGCAAATACTACCTCTGGCTGGCCCCAGATTGGGGTGGGAATGGGGATTTTGCAGTATCCTTCCCCTGCCACGCCCACCAAGAAATGCCCACCAAGTCACACCACGCCCACCAAGATATGCCCACAGAACCGGTAGTAAAAAAAATTGGATTTCACCGTGTGTGTGTGTGTGTGTGTGTGTGTGTGTGTGACAGAGAGAGAGAGAAAGCACGTGCTTACACGCATATGCCCAGTAGACAAGAGAAATGGAAGGAAAGAAAAAAATAACCCCAAGCCCCCCCTTTTTTTTCTTCATTTACCCACAAGCATAAGCACAAAACCACAATCTTTTCCACTTGACCCATTTACAAAGCAAGTCACCTCTCCCAAAAAAAAATTCTCCCCTCCCTCCATTCCCCCCCCCCAGACTAACGACGGCCTTCTTGGCTGCCGGAGCCCCCTACCCTCCGGAAAGACCCCGCAAAAGAATATTTCTGTTTTGCACCTCACTTTGAAAGCGGGAGGAGCCTTCTTCTCGGGAAATTTGCACTGGCCGCGTTCACACGTGCTGAGATTCCCGGCCTTCGGGGATCTGAAAAATAATGGCCGTGATTTATTTGATAAACGATTTGAAGTACGGAGCTGCTTGTCGCCGCTGCTGAAAAGAAATTGCTCCCCTGCGGAACTTCTGCGATTGGCAGTTACAGGAAGATCCCGTTTCCTCGACACGTTTTCTTTTAAAGCATTTAGAAAGCAGGCTCAATTTATTTACCTGGTTGTCTCTCTTTTTCCTGCAGGCACTCAATTTGACAGCGTGTTTCCGATTCCTTGTTGCTGGAGGGGAAAGGATCTGAATGTGTTGGCCTGCTACTGGCTTGCTCGGAGCTTCTCATTGGCAAAAGGTAAGCCCCTGGCTCGGTTTGGGCCTTTAAGTTGTTTTGTGGCAATCCTAGCAATTTCACCATGCTAAACGATATAGTTTGTTTTTCATTATTCTTCGGTCTTCTCCAACCCCCAATTATATTGGAATTAGGGGTGCAGGACTCTGGTGAAATTCATTTTTTTTTACTACCAGTTCTGTGGGCATGGCTTGGTGTTCGTGGTGTGGCTTGGCGGGGAAGGATACTGCAAAATCCCCATTCCCTCTGCACTCCTGGGGGAAGGATATTGCAAAATCTCCATACCCACCCCACTCTGGGACCAGCCAGAGGTGGTATTTGCGGGTTCTATGAAATACTCAAAATTTCCGCTACCGGTTCTCCAGAACCTGTCAGAACCTGCTGGATTTCACCCCTGGTGGAGGAGGGAGAGAAATCACCCGGTCCTCTTCAAAAGAGTCAGCCACATTTTGGCTCCGAATGAGTAAGGGCCAGGGATTAGCTTGGCTGAAGCATTTTGACGTCCTACTGGTGTCAAAGGGGAGCCCTCCCCACTGTCCCACTGATATTTCTCGTGAAGGTAATTAAGACTTGTACAAATGTTTTCCTTTTGGCAATCCCCCCCCCCAATAGTGTAGCAACCCAGAGAAATAAATTTGGATGAAAAGAAAGAATTATGATTTGGTAGCCTTGATTGGCCTTTAATGCCGAAAGTCGGCAGATGGACTGAAGTCCCCACGTGCCAAGATGCCTCCGGATTCCAGTTCCAGGGACCTGCGTGTGCTGCAGGGCTCCCGTCCCCGGAGGGAGAACAGGCGATGGCTTGGCTGTAAGTTATAATTGTTAGACTAGGCCACGCGGGTGTGCGGGCTGTGCCTAATTTAAACTTCATGGGGGGAAGCTTTTTTCTAAAGGTTTCCCAGCAAGAAATGTGTCATCTGTAAGGTTTATCCTTCTGACCCCCGCGCCTTTGTTCAGCAGGGAAGTTCATACCGTTTCCACCCAGCACTTCTCCCTCCGGCTAAGCAATCTAGGAAGGAAGCTGCCGTGCGGGATGTCCGTGAGATTTCCTCAAAAATGTCAAGGTGGCACTGGCAGTCACGATGGTATCATACAGGCTCCGCCTGTTTTTCTGTGTTCATCCCACCGTGGTGGCCGCCATCCTGACTTTTTTGACCGGAGCCCGGTGGACACACCTGATAGTGTGAATCTTCCTGCTTAGATCTCTAACTAGCTAGTACGGTAGCTAAGTAACTAAAGATTCGCAATTTTTTTCCGGTGAAGTTTTTAATGAGAAATGTCCGTATTAAGAGAAAGAAGTCAAAACTTGAGATATTAAAGGGAGTCTGCAGAGAAAACTGAAACGCAGAGTCTCAAGGGAACGCGACCACCAGGTTCCGAAATGTAATCAATATAGTGAAGTGAGCTGAATGAATTATTTAATGCCTCGTCCAACAAACTGGGTTCCACCTCAGGTCCCAAATACACAGCAGCAATTCGTTGTTCTTTCAAAGAAATGCCTTTTGAATGATTGCCCCTACATCTAGCGCTATGGTAATTAGTAGTAGTAGTAGTAGTAGTAGAAGTAATAAATAAAATAAAATAAAATAAAATAAAATAAAATAAATAAATAAATAAATAAATAAATAAATAAATAAATAAATAAATAAATAAATCATCATGTAACAGTGATACCCATTGTCATCAGGGCACTTGGTACCATGTCCAAGAATGTTACAAAACACATCAAGAAATTGCAGCTTCCTGCCATAACACCAGCGGAACTGCAAAAAACTATGCCACTTCGGAACATCATATATTTTAAGAAGATACTTGATTGATACCTAGGACGCTGGCAGCAACCCCTGTCAACCATTAGCGCCAGTCAATGGTATTTGTGATACATTTTTAAATGTTCAGTTGACTGAGTTTCATGTTTTAATGAATAAAAGAGATAATAAAGATAAAGATAATGTGAGATTCAAACCACAGGTCCTTGAATTGCCTGATAGAAAAGAGAGGTTATAAATAAAAGAAAGATAGAAAAGTAAGGCGCGATTCCTCTGAGTTCAGAGTATTTGTGTATTTCCCAGGAGAAAAGCGGGGGTTTTAAAGCGAGGTTCACTCGAAGGATCTCAGTTCAACAGGGGCCTTTAAAGCGAGGGCCGGTGAGCCTAAATAAAATAACAAATTAGTTTTAGTTTATTTGATTTGTATACCGCCCTACTCTCGAAGGACTCAGGGTGGTGAACAGCCAAGCAATAAAATACATAAATACACAAAATTTAAAAACCAGATAAAATCAAATTAAATCATTTTGGCCCGGACAGATTAAAACACCCCAATAATTTAAAAACAGATTAAAATTTACATATTAAAAGAGGGAGGAGATTAGGCCAAGCCCGCTTGATGGAATAAAAAGGTCTTCACAGCGTGGCGGAAGCAGTTCCCGTCTCTGATATCCGATGTAGCTCCGAATTCGAGATTCGGGCCAGCTGGAGGCTAAGAGACTGCAGGTTCGCCGCCTCGGTGTTCACGGAGGTTTCGGGACGAACGAAAGCTACAGCCGAGCTTCTGAGGCTGGACTACCGGCGATTTAGCATTAGGGTTTTCTCAAAAGCCCATCTGGAAAGCTGCCGCATTTCTCAAGGAAGGCACCCCAGCGAGCCCCTGGGCTTTGAAAGGCGAAGGGCAGCAGAATTCTCCTGCAAGGCGCCGGGAAACGGCGGAGAAAAACAACCAGGCCGCCGCCGCTGCCCGAACGCAGCATCCCCGCGGGCCGACCAGCCAAAACACGGACGATGGGCTGTACAGTACTGAACAAATAGCCGGTCGAACCTTTGCCTTCTTTGGCTGGCAAAGGTACTGCTTCCATCAGCCCGACGCACGTACTGGTCGGGGTTAATGGGAGCGAGAGTTCAACCCGTTGGAAAGGCCGGTCAGTCGGCGCAACAGAGACTCGGCAGGACGCTGAGTCCTTCCGCGCCTCCTACCTGCAGTTTTGACCACCGAGCGCCAAGGCCTGGCCCGATTCCGTGCTATTTGCGGAACCGACGATAGTTCCTTTCTACCGGTTTAGCATCTGGTGGCATTTGGAGAGAAGCCTTCTAAGGAGGCCCAAGGCGGCTGTGGACATTTCAGAAAGCCTTCCAGGCATTTTTCCACCCCAACAATAAATACTTAGGCCGCGTTTTTTATCTGCTTAGGCCCGCCTTTCCCGAGTATGATCTTAGAAATCCTTG